GCAGTTTTCAGGCTATTGTATTTTTTTCCCTTAAAAATCCAAACTAGTGTTGGGAGTTTCCAGTAATTTTCTCCCTTTGATCTGCAGTCTGACAGTCTGGTAGTTCTTTCTTCTTTTTCACTTATTTTTCATGTTACTAGTTCCTACTTTGTGCTAAATTTAGTTTTGCACTATATTTAATTTTGCTCTCATTCACATAATCCAAATGTCACTGCCAACTGCCACCAAGACAGTCATTCTGACTTGAGATGAACAAATTCATTGTGAATTCCTTTGGAAAAGAAACATTCCATAGCCTGAATATCTGTGGAAGATGGAGTCTAAATTTGATTGTGACAAAAATCAGAAAATCAAAGTTATTGTTTAGCTGCTGTTACAGCTAACTGACTCAGACAACAAATTTATTTCATTCCTCTTCCCCTTTCAAGCCAATAGAAAATAGTTTCATGCAACTGAAAAATGCTTTGGGCAAGACTGGGAGAAGCAAATAACTTATTTACTGAATATGGGGTGTTGACTGATTCAGAATGTCTCGCCAATTCATCCAAATTAACCAAATGCTTGGAGCTGGAAAGAGGACGTGGGGCTCAGTTAGTGGAATGAGGTCATGCTGAGCAGTCAGGATTCTGCCCACAGTATTTTTTTGACATCCAGATTCACCTTGTTAGGGGAGTACCTTGGGCACTGGTCTGGAGGGGGTCACCTTTGCCTGACCGCCTCAGCTAAGCAGGAGTTCAGTCATTTTGGCTGCAGGAACTCAAAACACACCACCTCTGAAATGCTCCTGCCACGGCAGACAGGGCACCCCAGTGGGAGATACATGTTCAGGCCCATGTCAGCAGAGGAAGAATTCCATGCTGCTCTCCTGAATTTTGGAGTGTCTGAAGTGCCTAGCCAGACAGCAGAGGCTCCAGTACCCACGTCCTCCTTCTTTGCATGAACTGCACTGTCATCCCACCCTTTTCATTCATCCACAAATAAATCAAAGAGGCAATACACAAGGTCTAATTTCCTTGCTTGTGTGTGTGTGGTGTGTAAGGAAAGCAAAGCACATTTTTCCTGAATGTCAGTTCTAAGGCTAACTGGAAGCATTCACTTTTATTGTATTCACAGTGCAGGACTGACATTTCACCTCTACAATATATCTAGGTAACTGCAAACACAGTGTCAGCCCAAGCAAGAGCTTTTAAGGCCAAGGCTTTAGTGATGAAGCACTAGGAGAACCATACACATACACTGCCACATGGATTATTCTGGAAACACTTCCATGTAAACAAAGTCTAATGGTGGACACCTTCTGTCCTTCCAGCACACTGTCAGATCACACTCTGCCACGAGGGGCGAGTTCCTCTGCAGCACTCAGTCATAGCGGGGAATCAAAGCATGGAAACCACATGAGCAGAGATTACACAGCCTCTCAAGTCTGGCAGCCAGATGTTGGCTTGCAAGAGTGAGTGCAACCAGATGGTTTTTCTGCCATTTTTTTCTCCAGACATTTCAGAAGAGGTTAACAGAATGACACATAGAGGTAAGTTTGTTATCGTATTTGTATATTTAGACACATACACATATTAGCCCCCTCAAAACTGTAATTCCTAAGGGTGACAGGCAGGACTAAGATTTTCAGATGTCAGGTCCAGCTCAGACTCTGCAAGAAGCTTCAAGTGAGTAACAGCCAGACTAGGACTTTTCCATATTGCTGTTCTGATGTCAGGATCAGCCTAAGGGTGCAATCAACAGAATCCCTTTGCAACCACTTAAAAAACATGCTCCTGGATGCTGTACCAGGGGACAACTCATCAGCTGGACATGGGCAGCTTTGCTTTTTTTCTACCCATGCAAAACTGCCTTACAGTGAGTGAACTGCTTGGGATTTGGAATGAAAAAATACAGCAGGAAGATCACTACATTTTTGTGACATAGTGGGTGCTGATGCAAAATGCTCAAGCAAAGGAAAGAAGGCTTTGATGGGATGGTCCTGCATCCCAACATGATCTAGCTGGTGGATACTTCTCTGAATCAACAAAAACATGCTACTTTCTAATGAAGCTGACATCACAGTCCGCTGGAGAGAAATTTGGGAAGGTCAGCTCAGAATTAGTAGATGTAGTTGTTAATTTCAAGCATCAGTTTCAAGGCTGAACCCTCATCACTAGCCCACACCTCTGTCCATCCCACAGTATCTATGCCAGATAGCCACATCTGGAACAAAACCATTTTGTTCCACTTAATATCCCATGCTTTTCCCTGTACAAGACATGGGTTTGCCACTCACATACTCCATGTGCACTGCACAGTCTCACACCAGCTGGAGAGAATGCATTTGGGACAGCAAGGAATATCAGTAGATGGACAACAACCAACACTTAACTGCTATGACTTACATTCTAATGAAACAAAATCCAGGGACAACTCTAATTCCCAGCTAGATAGTACAGAAAAGCAGCAATTCTGGCCCTGAGCTGCTTTTAACTGACCTGGATCTCATGAAGGCAAGTGAAAACTCCCATTGGAGCATTTGACCCTCAGACAGGCTAATTCCAGTTGATTGTTCCCATTTTATTTAGTTATGCAAACAAGCACCGAGTCCTACACTTAAGCTTTTATAAATCATATCCCTTCATTCCCAAAAAGCCCAGGTGAGAGCTTTAGTTTTGTGACCCTTATTCTTTCACAAGAAAAATAAATAAGCAGAAACTAATGAATACATTTCCTTGAAAATACCAGTAGAACCTATTGCAATTAAACCCAGGAAGAGGTGGGGAGCCCAGATGGAAGAAGTAGTTAGAGTTCTTCTGACACAAGTTTCTCTCAGTGACTTGGGAAACTAACTCAAATACTCAAGGGATCCAAGACCCAAACTCTTCTCCTGGCAGGCTGGCCAGGCTTGTGTGCACCTTTTTCAGGAGGAAGAAATCAAAGACAGCTTAATGATGCTTCCTTTGAAAGGCTGCATTTCCTCTCCTCCCTACAGCCTCTTAACACATTTCTGCTAGAGGGTTAAGAGTGGCTGGAAATATCCCAGTGAAGCATTTAGCCAGAAGACAGACACATAGAGAGACAGAGAGCTTTCTTAAACAATACCTTTATAAGCCTAAAAAGTTTTGTTTGAAACAGCTCTATGTGAATGACCTTTGGAGAAGCCTGAGGCTTGACGCCCACAACAGCTGCCCTGACAGACAAAACACCAGACTTCTCTGACAGCTGTAGGGCCTGGGGAGCTTCTGGATTCCTGGAAACACTGACAAGTTGTCAATTCTATCCAGTTTTGACCACAGCCAAATTTCAAAATTCCTGAAAATTGGGAGCCCTTGCTTTTAGCTACCTCAGGTCTGAATTTCTAGAGGCAAAACAAGGGTTGCAACATCACCATTTCCTGTCGAGTTCAAATATTGAAACAGTACAAATTAGTCCTTCTCAGAATTGTGAGATTACCTTCAAATCATGACACTTAAATGAACAGATGTTCTCTTGCCTTCTGATTTGCAGACATCTAATGTGTCAGTGATACTGATTAGATTTGTAGTAACTGCACAAAGACTTTTCTCTTACAAAAACAAAGCAAAACTGAAATTCCTGTAATCTTCTGAGTGTTGCAAAGGTTATGGATAAAAGTAGCTGCATCACCATGCCACTTGCTTCTAGATCTGACCTTTTAGAGCTACAGTCCTAGTGCCAGTAGCATAAAGGACAAGCCCTTAAGATGCAGCACTTTGGAGCAGCTAGTGAGAAGGAACACAGCTGCAAAGGAACACAACTGCAGAGCACACTCCAAAGGAAGTGGAGCTCAATAAGAGACCTCAGGAGAGGTAGGGAGAAGCCAGGGAAGTACAGACTTGGTTCCTCCTCAGAAAAAAGGTGATGAAAGCAAGAAAGGACTAAGGAATTGTAGTCTAACTGTAGACAGACCTGGACTTTTCAAAGTTTTTACCTTTCCAACTGAGACAAAACTCCCTTACAGGAAGTCAGATTCTCAAAGCCTCCAATCTGTCTGCAAATACCATGTGCAATAACCAACAACTTTTGTATGTTTCTGCACAGTTCCACAGAAATTAATAGTTTCAGAAAACTGTCATTTCCTCTTCAAATTTATATGCAACAGGAGCCCATAACTATGGGGACTGCCAGTCACTTCACACAGCCCTAATGTCAAGACTTCCCAAGTACTGTGCTATAGGGAGTTCTCTGAGCTCCAGGGATTTCCCATCAATCCAGACATGCTTTAAAACACTGCTGTAGGACACATGTCAAAGCTGCTTCTGTGGTGTCACAGGGCTGTGTGGGTCCACCTCCAGCTCTGGCAGGTCCAGGCAGCAGGTTTATTTCTGTGCTAATTTGTGCAATTTGGGCTAACTGGTCTATCAATCCTCTTAGGTAAGAAGATCCAGTGAAAAGCTGCTGCAGCAGCAGCATTATAAAGGAGCACAGTTGTAACTACAAAGCTCCATCCTCAGGTTGTGTGCTCCCTGCAGACTTGGCTTAATTACAGCAATGTGACAGGCTTCATCCCCTGCAGTTAAATCTGTGGTCTCTGGACTTGAAAGACCACTCAGGATGTCATGTACCACAAACACACTTAGAAGCATCCTCATTTTAATTAAGAGTACCTCCCTCTAGCCTCTGCCTGCCTGGCTCTAGTTACAGTAAATTCTGTATTTGACTGTATGTATTACCACAAACTGCCTTCTGCACAGCAGCATTGTCTCCTCCCCACATAGTGTTCACTGAAGAGGGTCACCTCGATTATTTAGAAAGTGGAAATCCAAACAGATCTCCTCCTGAGCAGTGAGAACACCCAGCCAGGTTCCTGACCTGACTCTTGGAAATTCAATTCAGAAGCCCAAGTCAGCAGAGTAAGACAGACAGACACTCCCACCTAGTGGGGAAGGCACAGCTCTGGGTCTCTGGGACTGGAGCTGCCTCAGCTCTGCAGGTTCACACACTCCTACCACAGAAACCTTTGCTTTTTGAATCAACAACAGTAACAGCTATGACGAAACCTGAGAGAATTACTTTTAATTATTAAGCAGAAGAAAAGCAGATTAAGCCTACCAAGTTACCAGTGCTTTTATTTCTTCAGTATTAGACATGACTGCAAACACAACTCTTTCATTTTATAGTAGTGTAATGATTAACTTCTGCAAGGTCAATGCAACAGGCATGTAAAATATTAGCTGAATGGCACAGTGGCATTTTAAACCAACTTTACTACATGAAGAGAACTAAATTCTTGAATGCAAAGTACAGACAAGTAAGTCTTCAGTAAATAAAGAGCCTTTGATATCTAGGAGAGCATACCAGCTCACAAGCTGTGTCACTGTCAGTGTTTTCTGGAGACAGTTTAGGGGTTTACTACTTTGGGGGATTTTTAATGCATGCTGTAGATGAAGGTAAAATAAAAAAAAATTGCAAGGTGGCAATTAGAAGCTAGAGGGGAAAAGCCTCTTTGATCTATTTCCATTTCTGCATGCTCAGCAGACACCCACAGACCCCCCCTGTTTTCCAGGAGGCTGAAGGTGCCATCCTGAGGGCTCACTGGCACTGGCCATGGCATCATTCCCACAGCCTGCCACAGGGGGTGGCAGAAAGGCTGTAAGAGCTCAGTTTGGCTGGCTGTGAATTACTTTCATCTGTTCTGGTACAGAATGAGATACACACACCTTGTGATTCATATTGGCCTTCTAATGCCTTTTTATAGTCTGAAAAGTCACAAACGTGCACTTGCATTTCTCAGCACAGATTGCCCTTTTGGACCCAATTGCATGTTTCTGAAAAACATTCAGCCACCAAACCCTTTTGGACCCAATTGCGTATTTCTGAGAAACATTCAGCCACCAAAATCTGCAATGTGCAAACCAAAGTCTCTGTGTGCACCTGCAAGTATTTATTATGGGTTCACCCTGATGCACCCTGCTCTTTCAGCCCATGACACACTATAATTTCCCAGGTTTTGGGTTAGGTACTGCACTTTGTTGCCCTCTTGAAAATTATTCCAAGTTTTTATTTTAACATAATGTGGCCTACACACAAATTAACTGTGTCTACAAACACGGCAGCGACATGCCCAAGCCCTGGGGTCTGTCTGGATGCAATTTTGCAACTTTTCTGTTTGGTCCAGGTCAAAGACTAATCCAGCACTGAAATTTGCAAACTCATTGCTCCTTTCATGCAGATCAATTCCATGCTCATTGGTGATACTGGGCACAGTTCAGGTTGGAGATGACTTAACACACAGAGCTATTTTTACATCTGGGGTTAGGAAGGTCTAGATAGAACAAACTGGTAATTTCATGTTTGACTAATGCATCTCAGACTTGTCCACACAGGGCATTTGAGATCAGCTGTGAGGCTTCCCCTTCCTGTTTCTCAGCTCATGTAGGGAGAGACAGACCTGCCCACCTCCACAGCAACCACAGTAACACTAAATGCTAGTTCTCAGCAGCAATTCTGAGCTTACTGCCTAACACAATTAGTAAGAGGTTTATGCACTTTCACTGCCCAGTCAACAGCTTTGCTAGCACACTTGCTAACACACTTGCTACAGGCCCATACTCAACCTTATAGTGCTGCACACATTAAATGCTTTTCACTGCTTCACTGTCCCTACTATTTGCCTTCAACAGTTAATAAGTTCTCATCTTCCTATGCCACAGACATTGCTTTTTGTATAGAGCTGAGGACTTGGCACATTCAGACCTAGACAGGACACAAGGTAGCAGAACCGACTCACCAGCAGACTGGAAGCAGGAGAGGAGTGGAATTTCTTAACCTGGTGCACAGCAGAAACTAAGCCTTACCAGCATGTGCTGGGTCTCGCACTACTGCCTTTAGAGCCTCAGCAAATGTTGGCTGTGCTTGAGGAGCTCTCCGTGGTTAAAATCCTCAACCACCTGGAGCTAACTCAAGCTTCCTCCAAGCTTAAGCACTCCTTTCCAGAGCACCAATCTACAAGCACATTTACCTCCTGTTCCTTTGGAGTGTGCAGAACCAGGATGAGTGGCACACACATTACAGCACTTACCACCAAAGCCCTGCCTCAGCACTCACTCATATTGAGGAGCATTCCACCACTTTGTTTTTCCTCTCTGCTATGTGGTACTTCACTGTATGTAGTAAGGAACAGAAAAAAACTCCAGTTTCCTTCACCTTCAAGCAGACACCATGGTAGGCACAACATACCAACTATTTCAAGACCATGGGCATGCTCTGTTACAACAAAAAGGTTACTTCATGCCTGCCTTCAAGCATCAAGTTTAATTTGTTACTACTGCTTCAGCAAGACGGCTGGACAGAGACAACTTGTACTTGATATATGCATGCAATCAGCCCCTTCAGTTAAAGGATGGTCTAAGACACATCTGAACAGTTAGGATAAAATGAGTGCCACATGCTGTCATTCAGGCCCTATGTGAACAATTTGCCTGAGCCAGTACTGTAATCTCTGTGCAAAGTAATGCTTCCAATGCTTGTGCATCAGTGTGATACAAATACCTCACATAAGAAATGCAGGAAGGGGTAGGGATGACTGAAGACAGTCAATTCAGGCAGGCACAGCAACACCTATTTCCCCTTTATTTATCTTTTCAACCTTTATGAAAGCTCTGCAGCCTGTAATACAACAAACTACAAAAGGCATTTTTCTCTTCCAACTGTTTTAAAATCAAGTAACTAGACCAGATATTACTAAAAATGAGTCTCTTGTAGACAGTTATAGAAGATTCTTCTTTTGAGTTTTATTTGTTTATAGTAACAGTAGCACATATTTCCACTTAGGTACTTTAGTGCAACAAGGAAATCCATTAGGCTTCAGCAAGGTGACCTATGTTTCTATATGCAATGGAACAGATTAAAGTGCCTGCCTTTGTTGCACAACAGTTTAAAGCTTCAGAACTCTAAGTAAATACCTTTCACAGAATTAAACAAGCAGACACTTTGCTTGATTATGAAATGCTTTTGTTGGATGAGTGAAGTGCTTTCTGCAGTAGAACAATTCATTTGTAAGCCACAGGCACTACTACAAGAGTGGTATCAGAGTAGAACTGGTGACATTTTAGTAGTCTGTGCAAGAATTCCACTCTACTTTTTGCAAGTTGCATATCTTGAAGATACATTCTCCCAGTTGATCACATTCCAGATGGCTTTCAAATAATCAGGTCGAACATTTTTATATTGAAGATAATAAGCATGTTCCCATACGTCAATGCCTAGCAAAGGAATGAGACCTGTGAAAAAAAAGAGGATAAATATATGAAAACACACTTTACATGTAAAGTTTTATATTGCATCTTCAAGTTGTACCCAGTTTCTGAGTCTTAAGCTGCAGAAGACAAAGAGCTCTGCAGAACACTGGTCTCTATTGCAGTATTTTACAAAACTGTGCTCACACACACACACACACTGCATAAATTCAAAGAGTGATTTGGGTAAACACATCTATAAATAATCTGGAACTGCCTTGAAGACATAACTGAAACCAGATGAAGTAATTTTTGCAAGGTTTCTATCTTTTGCACACTTATGCAAGCACTTCCATAAAAAATTACCTTATGAAGGTTTCTTGTGATGCCAGTTTACTTCCATTACTTTAATTCCAGGCTATCTGTTAAGTGCCTAATTACCTCCTTGCTTTTGTGCTAAAATACCCTTGTCACTGAATTTTTTATGGTAAATTTTCACAGGAGGGAGGATGAAATTCACCCCCATTATAATCTATGTCCCTATACTAAATCTATAATTTCTTTTCACCCTACTGATAGGCAATACAGACTGCTGGCAATACATGAAATTCCTTGCCATTCTCTATGAATTCTGCAGAAGGTAACTGCAAAATGATTTGGACAAACTGTTACTGCAAGCAGATTCTCACTGATCATAACCTCTTCCCTCTGTGAAGGGTGTCCAGCCTGCCATTATCACTTCCATGTCTCTCTAAGGAAGTAAGAATATCTTGGAAAAGAGATAATTGCCAGTACTATGCTGCTTGTCTAGCTGTAACACTTAACCACATCACAGACTAATTTGGTTGATACGCATTAAAGGAGTGTCATAACTATAAAGGAAGCAAATTATAAGGCTCCATTTTAAACCCAGTCTAGATAGGAACAAGAGTTATTATGTTCATCTTCCCCTCTCATGTTGTCTGGCCCCCACTGACAGTGCTGTGAATAGCTCCTCTGCCAGAGAAAAAAAAATCTGAAGGCAAGAGTCTTAATGTTGCTTGATATGTGCAAGTTACTCCAGTTGCTCAAAAATCCAAGGAAGCTGAAGCTAAAATATTCACCAAGCAAAAAGCACTTTCACAACATGACCCATCTATTTTTCCTTGGACTAGAAGGACACTTAATCCTTCTGCTGTTCAAAGTTTTTAAGTTCTGCTTTACAAATGCTACTCTAAAAACTGAGTTTTCACTTCTGCTAGAAGAGACATTTGGTTTTTCACATCTATTTATCAGCAATTTCTTCTCAACGTTTTCCCAAACCATTTTTCAGATGTCATGCACTTGCCCACCAAATCTACAAAAGCAGAGTGGAAGGAAAGAAACCTGACCTGTTGTTCCTTGCAAAGGGTCTTGATTTGCACAAGCTGCTATCTGTAGGCGCCCCTGCTCCTTGTTATAGCCAAGCCACCCCCAGCCTGATCCTTGGACACCAACTGATACAGCTGTCAGCTTCTCCTTGAAGTTTGCAAAAGAACCAAAGTCACGCTTGATGGCTTCCATCAATTCTCCTTTAACAGAAAAAAAGGACAGAAAGATCACAAGCATATCAACCTCGATCCAAACCTCCCAGGTTTATCACAACAGCTTTTGTGAGATCTGTATTAAAGGGCCTTTATCTTTAATTGCAGGTCACTTTAGGTAATCAGTACTCTATCCTCCCCAGGGGGATTCCTTCCATTAGGCTTTAACTGCTGAACTATCCCTATCCAAACTGGAGCATAACTCCAGCCACTAGGCTGGGTGGACCTGCAGCACATTTCTTCCCTTTCTGTGAATTGAGTACATTGAGCAATTTAATTAGCATGGCCTTGTACAACTATTTTCTCTTATGAAAGTGGAAAGGGTATATATACAGCAGTAGCCAGGTATTTTGCAGTGTATACATAATCAGCTCTAGAAATTAAAAAAGACTTTGAACATTACTCGTTTTTTATATTTTTGGCTTGCATCCAAAACCTCCCCCAAATACCTCAGAATTTTGGTAATTGTCACATAGAAAGGTGAATTAACTCTGAAAAATAAAGATCCTTTAGACTCCTTCAAAGAGAGAAAAGATCATCAATTCTACCTGTTAATTAAAACTGATGCAATAAACCACTGTAACATGCACTAACCTTTAGGTTCTCCTCCTCCATTAGGAGAAAGGTTTGTCCAGAAGATGCTGTGATTGATATGACCCCCACCATTGAACTTCAGGGCAGGCTGAAGTGACACCTGAGTTGTAACATCACCTAAGGACACAGAAAATAAAAATATATAAATAAAAACATTATCATCACCACAACAGGCAGTAAGTTTCTACTAGGCCTCTGCTGATAGCCAAAATCTTTCTACAAGCATATAACTTATCAATGGAAAACATAGTTTGTACTGTTATGCATATTTTAGACAGTCACAGACAAATTCTATTGAAGATTTATTATCTTTGACCTTTTTTTATGCTGTAATAAGTGAGCTGCAATATTGCAACTATCAGGCAGCCCATACTACCCACCTAAGACTTACTGCCACTCTACAGCAGAATAAAGCAACGAGCACAGCCAGAACTCTTTGAGGACCCAGCACTTGTAAATTTGTCAGTATCATCACTACAATGCAAGAATAGTATTCACCCATTAGTTCACTGATTTGCAAACTAAGCATTTTTAAACTTCCTAAAACAATTTACAGGGCAAACAGCCTGTGCTTGAGAAAAGTCAGTAAGTACAGTGAGCACATACACAAAATGTTCTTCTCCTTCCTATCTTTTGTTTCATTTGGAGGGAGGTACTCACAGAAAAGTGAACAAAATAATTTTGCTACACATGACAGAATCCTGCATCTGAAACCAAGATCAAACAGCTCTGTACTTCCAGAGAAGAATTCTTGAAGAATTCACTGGTGCCTTGTGTCTTGAACAGTCTTGTACCACTTCAATGCAAGTCTTTTCATTACTATTTTGGCTTTTAAAAACACTGAAGCATTTCAAAGGTTTTTAAAGCTTTTTCCACCACTCCAATGCATTCTTTAGTTAGCAATCAGTGGGGGACCTGTTTTCCCAACTCTCAGGACTGAGTTGTAGAAATTTTCTGAAACCTCAAGAACACGGACATGAAGACAATCCTCAAAGAAGTAGTGCACCTCAAAGCAATCTGTTACTAAGGTGATGCCTCAGGTTTTAACTTTTGTATTTTTGAGATCTTGTGCTGCTTTAGTGTGTGGGTCTGGGCTTCACATTAGGGGATAGTAAGCTCTCTTCACAGAGTAGGTAGACAAAACAATTCCTTCTCTAAGCTGGGGACCCAAGGACAAGTGATGCAGATCTAAGGCCCAAAAACACAAACAACGGTGGACCAAAGAGAGAAAAACTAGAAGGATGGGACTTCATGGGCTAATGCTGTAATTGGACAATTAACTCCTATGTGCTAATGGACCAAAAGTTATAAAAGTGTGACACCCTATGACTGGTTGTCCATTTTTTTGTGACCCTTTTGGGTTCTCCTGGGCTGAAGCCCTGGCTGGGCTCTTGTGCTGCTCAAGGTGGATCTATTGAGGCTTCGTAATAAATACCTACTTTATTCTTTAGTTCCATCTAGTCTCTGTTCTAGGACAGCCTTCACAAGGCATCAAAGGTTTTAATTCAGGATTTCGTGTTCTCAGCATTTCCTCACAACTTCAGAGAGGGTGCAGCACTGAAACAAAGCATCCAATGCTTTGTTTGTAAAAACATTATTTGCTGGATTTAGGTATCAGGTTAAGGATAAGAAGTCTCTCATGGCCATTCTGATGGCATCTTAGGGACATTTTCCCTGAATTTCTCATGCCTTAATGACACTTTCAAGCTCATCCAGAGCATAGAACATATAGCAAGTCAGAAATCAAAAAGTAACTTAGAAAGCCTTTAATGCGTCCATAACTCTTTATTCCACCATTCCTTAGAAGAACCCACTCCTCAGGACCCCTGGAAACCAGAGATGGCATTTCACCATTGTCCTTAAACAGTATTTGTGCTGCTGAACTTTGCACTGGGGAAATAAACAATTGAAAAGGGGTAACTTGCCCTTAAGTTACAGCAAAAGTATACTGGAATTTATTTGTATAGAATCAGTGGACAATTCAGTAAACCAAGACAAGAAGCTCAAAGGTGCTAAAGAGAGTAGATCAGCTCAGGATCTCAGCTTAAGTAATTTGTTTCCCTGTAACAGTCCAATCACAGGTCGCGTGGTGGTCAAAGAAGAGCAGGGAAAACTATGGTAGGAACAAGTTTTCAATAAAAATGAGATTCAAGTTAATATCCTTCAATGAGCAAATCTGACACATTTTGATGGGCCAGTAGTCAGGACCAGTTTATGTTGAAACAAAGTCCTGCGCTGTCACAGAAATGTAAATTCATTTTCAAATGAACTGACAATGTAAGCCAACAGGATGGCCTTGAGTTTTCTATGCAAATATAGATAAATGAAGAACATGTTAAAGATAATCTGAAGAAAATACTTTGCATTCTATTGCTGAACAAGAGACATTGACAAGGTTCTGCTGCCCAGAAAGTTATTAGATAGTGATCAGATGCACTATATAACCCAACACTGATACACAGCCCAGCAAGATTTTTGACAGTGCTCAGTTTTAGTATGAAAAAATAACAATACTGACAAAATGAAGTGGCAGTTCAGACTTTGCCCGGTTTTAGAATTTTTTCTTATGAGGGTCAAAATACTGCACATGGTAAACTAAGATACCAATCAGGAAAAAACAAACTAACAAACCACACAATCACCAATATCCCAAGTAATTATTTGTCTGCTTTGGTGTGCATGACCACAACCAGTGAGTCACCCATTTGGAAAATAATCTCTGCAGAATCCTTAAGGAAAAATTAATCTCTAAGTAATAAATGTTTCAACAAAATATCAAAAGCTGTAATTCCTAAAAAATAACTCAAAGGATCCACAACACTGCAGATGCTTCTGATAACCAGAAATTCTGCCTCCACTAGTGGCTGAAGCTTTTGTAATTTAACAGCATCAGTAACAGCAGCAGCACACACGCTGTCTTCTGACACTTCAGGTTCCCTCCCCAGTTGTGTTTGCACTAATTACATCTCCAGAATACACCTTTCCTGGATCTGCTACTGGCAGGGCAAGGCAGTAGTCAGTCTTGATAACCTGCTTCTTAAAAGAATCTGATTAGTTCATTAATTCAGACTGCACAAGTTATTTTTAGGCTCACTTAGGTACCTGAAAAGCCCCATTTTTTATTCAAATACACTGGCAATTAACTATCAAGGGACACATGGTTCAGGTTTACTCAGATATCAGCAATTCTAACTTTCACCCAAGTCCATGCATTAAATTCCACTGTGAAGCCACCTGGCAAGCAGACAGAAGTGAGTCTGTACAGTAGTCATTTCTCTGAGATAAACTGATACTTTTTAAGATCATGACAACAGAAAAACCCCCAGAAAATATTCCACCTTCTTAAAAAGACATACATATTATTTCACACACTTTTATCAGTCCAAATGAAAGACTTAAAGTTTGGAAAAAACACATCTCATGTTTCAGCATAGCTCTGATACACCTGCAAAGCTTTTGCAAAAAGCAGTGTATCTCAAATTCTGGGATCGTACCAAAAAATTCCATGATGGTTTCCTGCATATTTTCGTGTCTCACATGGGATTATCACCTACACAACCCTTTAATTTGACCCAATGATATAAGTGATACCCAAATTCAGGTCTCTGCACTATGTGTTGTATGCTTTAACAACATGTTTGTCTTACCTCAATTGCAGGCAACTGAGATTATTTACAAAGACTGAGCAGAGCATCTGATGTGAAAACTATCAAGGCACGCATTTTTCACTTTATCGAACTTTGCCACTAACCTTTTATTGCAAAGTACTTGTTCAGCAAAATGACTGCAATTTCCTACTGACTCAGTCTTTGTTCAGTTTAAGTTACTAATGGAGTATGGACTAAACCCACAACAATCAATCAATCTTCTCATTTTACAGCACTACAGAGAACAGAATTCTTGCTTTTTACTTACATTCAATTTCCAATTATCAGCACCACGGAAGCTACAATAAAAGATTTTCCCCTTACCATATTGCAATGACATAATCCAAAGCTTTTCAAAGAATATATATCACTTCTTTTTTTATTTTGTTCTTCTCTATCATCTACACCAATTAGCTTCCATCTCACCTGTTGACTGCAGAGATACAAACCTTTTGCCACTGCCTCTTTGTACTTCTCCTCGACAACGTTCAGGTTGTTCACGTAGGTGGCATGATGCTTGCTGTGGTGCAGCTGCATGATCTCTGCATTAATATGAGGTTCCAGAGCAGCATAGTCATATGGTAAGTCGGGAAGAGTGTGCTTTTGCCTAGAAACCAAGCACCCCAAGGGTGCTACCAACTTGGCACTGCTTCTAGAAAAGAAAAAAAAAAAAAAAAAACCAGAAAGAAGCAGTCTTATTCAGTAAAACTTGGGCTTCACCAGTGAAATAGACTGCATACACTGCTGTTCTGATCAGCTGCTTTAAATACCTGGGGTATTATCTCAGCCAAGGAAATAATATTTCCATTTCTCAAGAGTTTAAAGGAAACATACTTTGCAGCTTAACTGCAAAGATGAATTCACACCAAGGTCACATATCCAGGGCTTTGCACTGTGAAGCTGCTGCTTCTCAATCCGAGCCTCCAGGCCCCTGCAGAGACTCATGAATCCTCCCAAGCATGCACGTGAGGGAAAAGTAGGGACAGCAATGAAAAGCCAGTTGTAACCTGATGACATTCAAAGCTTCACCTAATCTTTATTCATTAAAAATAGAAGCAAAGATGTCACCTAAGCGTCCTTCCCTCGCTATCCACAAGGTCTGCGCACTGGGAAGTGCTAAAAAACCTGCACAGTCACGGGTTTCCAGGACTGAATCTCTCCAGCATTTGTTCACAGACACGTGTTTCCCTGTCCCCACAGGGCGTACCGGGAAACCACATGGGGCGTCACAGCCGCGATGCCCTACACAGACACCGCGCAGGTTGCGTTACCCTTCCCCATTTTAACACCTCGCACTTGTCATGCGACACACGGGCCACGACGAGAGGAGACTCGCCGGGCCGGCAGGGCGGTCAGCTCTGAGGGCCGCCGCCGCATCGCTGGTGACCTTGACATAGGCCAGGGACACACCGCGAGCGAAGCCCTCGGGACCCTGAAGAGCGGCCGAGAGCGGCGACCCCGGCCAGCAAAAACAAGAGTGTCTGGCAGCACCGTGTCACGCCGCCAGAGCTCCTCGGCGGACGGCGCGGGCAGAACCTGAGAGCGCTCAAGGACGACGGCAGCACCTCCGGCCCGGGCCAGCGCCGACCCGGCGGGGCAGCCGGCAGCACTGCGACCTCCCTGCGCGCGAAATGGCGGGGGGCCGACACCGAGGGGCGACAAGACGACCCTCCCGCCGCCTCCTCCCCCGCTCCTGGCGTCCCTCCCCGGCTCGGCGGCGGAGGGCAAGGACGGTGCGGCCGCCGCCTCCCGGTGCGGGGCTCAGCCCGGCCCCGCGCTTTCCCAGGCGCGGCGCGGCGCGGCTCTCACCTGCTCGCGGCGGCGAAGCGGCACAACATGGCGGCGTCTGCAGCCGGGCGCGACTGTCACTGCGCAGCCGCGGCCCGCCCCAGCCGCGGGGGCTGAGCTGGGCCGAGCCGCAGGTGACACACCCCGCGGCCACCCCCGGCCTTCCAATGCGGACAAATAGCGTTGCTTAGCTTGTCCTTTTGAACGGAACGCTCCTAGAATCGTTATCGTAAAACTCAGGCCCGCCGTAGTCCCAGGCAAGGCGAGGCTGCCTTAGCAGCAGATAAAATGTCGCCCGATGCCCCCGGCAGGATGCAGCAGCACGGCAGAGCCCGGCTTTGAAAACCCGCCGCGCAATGACATGGTTCTGGCAGCATAGCGACGGCACCGGCAGCACCAACGCTACCGTTTCAGCTTTTTTGTCTACGACTTGCTTTTGTTGCTTCATTTCTGCTCTTTTACCCATTTTGTGGGCATCTTGTTTTCCCCAACACGTGCTTTCCTGCATGTAGCAATTCAGCGGCCTCTGGTGCTCATGAAAATCCTTTACCCAGTTTAATGCAAATGAGTCCAAAGACCCATTACAAACTGGCTCTCCAGCGAAGTCAGGGAGGAGAAACTCATTCCTTAGAGCTAGGAGGCACTCTGCAGGCAAGACAAACATTAGGTAAAATTTTAATTCCATACAATTTATCTCTGCTACCACAAAACCTTCTATCATCATATTTTGTCATTCTAAATAAATACATATAGCCTTAAGATCTTCTAGCACCCACATTTACCAGACTATAAAAATTCAAATTACAGAAATTCAGTGGAGGCTAAGCCTGAACAATTTTGTTGAGAATAAATAACCTCGTCTTGCCAGTTGTGAAGAAATCCACCTGGAAAGACCCACAGAGGGAATCCCAGCCCTGGAAGACAGTGCTTCCATTCCTCACTTCTCGAGGCATGCTAGGAAAGGACAGTAATTTAGTTCCTCTGATGAAGAGGAACCAGCGGTGCTATTGTGGGAATCTGAGCAGTGAAAATAGCTGCTTTAGCAGCAGCTAAGATAGAAGGCAAATTGTCCAAAATCAGTGAGTTGTTTCTTCATCCCTGACTACTGAAAATACATTTGGCGAGATATATGTTATATCTAATTTTAAAGAGGAATATATTGTATTTATTGGATCAATAAAATGTAATTTTTTGTTAACATGAACCAACTATATTCAGGATTATTAAGTGTCATAATACAGGCACCAACAGCCAGGCAAAACCATGAATATTACAGGCTTTTAGTAATTAGCACTTGCATATGCAGTATTACACTGCAGTTCACTAATGTTTGTAGCAAGTGTTCCATGAAAGCAAGTCAATTATGTAATTATATTTCTAATTTTATTATTAACTGGCACAGTTGCTGGGTTGCTTTCATTTTGGAAGAAAAAAAAAAATCACACAAAGCATGCCAGCCTGCTTATTTAGGAGACACCTTCTAAGCAGAGGTGTCTGCTTAGGGCAATGGCTTTACACCATTTTTTTTCCAAAAAGTTAACTTGAAGTCTGATGGTATTATTTGTATTTCTGATTATCTTTTTACTATTTAAAAACTTGAGAAAATAAAAACCTCACATAAAGATAGTTTTGAAGTCATGAATGTCCTTTAATACCGGACTAAGTAAAAAGTCATCACCACCTAAGTGCTATGCCTTTTTTTTAATGACCACAGATTTCCTCAGTAGGCTTTTTACCATCTGATCACATAAAAGCTGATTACTATATTGTGTTATCAGCATTGGAAGCTTCTTAAGATACTGTATTTTACCATGTGCAGGATCCAGGTGGTAAATATATACACATGCTACATAAGCAAGCAATATGATGTTAAGATCAAATAAAATCCATCATGAGGGACTTCTGTGATCTAAAAACTCCTTTGGGTGCCAGATGGCAGTACCATTTTTGTATAGGTATTTGTCACTTCCCTTTCATGCATTCAACCATTCAACTGCTATTTTTCAAGCAATAAGGCCTGAAGCAAGATTCAAAAGCAACAAAGTATCACCAATGGAATTCATACTTCCAGTGACCACTACCAAGTGATTTTAGAACACTGATGTGAACCCTATGAAATTAAAATAGCAGTGGTGCTAGCTATGGACTAGGATGATTTTAATACAAACAAGCATAACTGGTAGCATTTTAATTACATCCATTTGTCTTGGACAGTATTACTGCAGATACTAAATTTCTCCCACTTAAAAATGCTACCACAGAAGCCCTTCTGTAAGAATTTACTCTAACTGTAAATTTAAATCAAGGCAAGTGTGCTCTAGAACTTTTGAGAAATACTCCTTTCAAACAGTGAATTGCAAAGCAGCTAAGCTACTTCTTATTACTTAAGTAGCTACATATGCATTAATTTTATTAATCATCTGGTAATTACAAGACTCACAGGTAGAAAAATGCTGAAACTGGAAACTCTTTAATCCACCCTAAAATACCCTACTAAGTACTTCTACCTTACCTTGAACAGTGCTTTTTCATCTTCTTGCTCATGTGCTACCAACACTAAACTAGTAGTCGAAAATAAACACCAGAAATCCAGGTTCTGAAATTCACAGCTCATTGCTACTGTGCAGTAAGAATATATTTAATTAAAGGGAATTCTTTCATTCTCTGCACCTGTTAAGGAATCAGTTTCCTCAGGCAGGCATTTAAAAACAAAGTTAACCAGTTCTAAAGGCTGAATTGCTAATTCCTTATGTTTTTTAGTTTAATTTGTGCATTTACCTGTTACGTACTTCAAGCTTTTGGGTTTGGCTTGTTTTTTTGGGTTTTTCTATAATTGCTAATAAAACCAGGTTCAAACTCTAAGGTTTACTTTTATTAACTTCTCCTTTCCACCTCCCCCCCCCATCCCCACCCTTTTTCTGCCAGTCAGGACAAAACCTTTGGAACAAGCACTATCAGGCTGTCTTGAAATTAGTACTAGTACACACCTACACCTTCATGTATTGGGCATATGCTGTATCAGAGAGGATTAACACAGATACAAATTCAACTCAAAAACAAGGACTATAAATACACCACATACAAATAAGCCACGTAAGCCAATGCAGAACAATGAGGAAATTACATTATTAAAAGTTTTTATTTAGGTTTGGTCAGTACAGGTAAGATAATATTGGAGTCACAGAGCAATATGCATCAACAGGATACAACAGTTCTTAAAAACTGAGTAACTATGCACACAATTCATAAACATTCGGTCACCTAAGGAGAAAATGCACAGATGTATGGTGGGAAAAACTGTAATTAACACTGAAACTACTACAGGACTCCTTCAGTAAGTCCATCTTTTTAGTGATAAAACTACTGTACTGGGCAAACTTGGCAGTCAAACCCACAGCTATTATGACAAATCTTGAAGGTGGTGTTAAGTATAACAGTATGAGTAAGAATGCCCTTACACAGCACAGGTTCTAGATATACACAGATTTGTACAGACATCATTTATGTTATACTTTATGGAAATAATTTCCATTTCAACTTCACATTAACTCATATAAAAATAACTTGAGCTACACAAACATCCTTTTAGCAACATTCAACGTAATTAACTGTTAAAATTTCCAAAGTGGCAGAGGTATTGAAGCAAAAAGAAACCCACAAAAAGGCAAAATTGTGACAAGTATGCACTAATTTAAACGGCTTCTGGACAGTATCCTCTCCCAATTTCAATGACACTGTATAAAAATTTTGCAGAAAAATGTTACAAAACTGAACCCTGCACATTTACACTGGAGTCCAAACCATTCTGGACATGACGAGAACCCACAGTTCTGTTACCTTTCATGCTCACTGTTTTCTCCTCTTGAGGATCATGATTGGAGTCTGTGTCATTTGAGTGGTGAGTGAGAGAGTTTTCACTGCCAGTGGGAGAGTCTACACTTTCATACCCAGTACTGAGCTGGTTTATGTAGCTACCACTTCCTCTACCAGTTCTATCTTCAGAGTGGTTGGATAGCTTATTACCATTCCCTGGAGAAGCCGGGAAGTCATCTTCCGTGCCGCTACCCTCCCTATAAAATGCAGGCCCAGACGTCCGCTGGTGGGAGGAGCTGCCATTGCTTGGTCCGTTTGCCAGGCGGCTGCAGTCTTTGCCCGCAGCCTCTCCCTGCTCCATGGGCTCAGAGGATGGAGTCCTGCTGGTACCTGGGTTGGGGGCCTGCGCCTGCTGCTGCTGGTACTGTGCCAACTGCTGCCGAGTCTCCTTCAACTGCTGCTGAAGAACTAGAATGGTACTCTGCATACCTTCTACCTCCTCATCAAGCTGGATGATGAAGTCATTCAATTCTATGTAAAGAAAACACATTTGTTGCAAACACTTAATAGCCCATATATAGTTTAAATCTCAGACAAGAAATTAAAATCCCGTAACTCAACATTTTATGCTGAAATTTTTCAATGAACTATTTCTCAGCCATCAGGTATGCACTGGTTTTGATACTCTGCCTCTGAAGGAGAAAATGTGGTATCTACCTATTTTCTAAGCTGCTACTGAAACTTCTGAGCAAGAAAGGAAGATATTCAGGAAAAAGCTCAATTGCAGTAATTAATATTCTGCAAGTAGATTCTATTGTGTCTACTTTTACTCAAGTATAAATCCCTGGCAGAAATACTGTAAAAGTGACCGTGGACCATATCCATACGTAGCAAACCTGAGTTACTGCAAAACCCTATTCAATAGCCAAAAGTAGTAGTTTTTCATCCTATTTCAAAGAAGTTTCAATTCTTAGTGTGTTTAATCCTTGAAATCGTTCAAGGGAGAGCACAAAAAGACCTTCTTACCAACAGAGAGTTAACTAATTTCATAGTGTTTTAATATTTATATAGCAGAAAAAGGTTTTTACAATTAGTATTGCATTCTGGAACAAAACAAATTTGACCATAAAACAGTATAAGAAACACTGATTCAGTCTTCAGTTCAACTGCACCATCAGTATGCCAGAGAAAAAAAAAATGCAAACTGCTTAATATTGTAAATTTTTTTTTTTAAATGTTCTTGCTGCTACAGAACACA